TTAAGTATCAGATATGCCGATAATACTATAATAATTGCAGAGAATATACAATATCTATAGACACTTTTAGATAATGTAGTAAATGCTAGTAAGGAAAGCGGACTAACTCTTAATGTTATTAAAACAAAATATATGACAATTTCCCAAACCCAACAAGACATTTTAAACATAAGAGGGGTTCCAATAGAAAAAGTAAAAAAATATAGATATCTTGGTACAATTATTAACGAAAATAACGAGTATACAGAAGAATTAAAAATGAGAATTGGACAAGCTAGAGCAACATTTATAAAGATGAGAAAAGTATTATATAGTAGAGACCTTAGTTTCGCAACCCAAATTAAGAATATTACGTTCATATGTGTTTATGGTGCTGCTGTATGGGTGGAGGCCTGGACCTTAAAGAAAGAGGTGAGCGATCCACCTGAAGCATTCGAGATATGGACCTATCGAAGAATATTAAAAATAAGTTAAGTAGACCAAATAACAAATGTTGAGGTCCTCAGAAAGATGACAAACAAAATAGAAATCATGAGCACGATAAGATAAGAAATTTACAGTATCTCGGCTACGTTATGAGACGGGATAAATATGTGTTTCCACAAACCATAAGGCAGGGAAAAATACAGGAAAAACGAACATCTTCTGGCTCAACAATTCCAACAGTTTCATCGACTTGTTCAGAGCTGCAATCTCAAAAGTAAAAATAGCTGTGACGATTACCAATCTCCTTAGAGGAGACGGTACCTAAAGAAGAAGATTCCTTATAGTAGTTATAATTATTTACTACTTTGACGATATATATGGTTACATATTATATATAGAGGTATATGTACAGTACAAGGACGGTAAACACATTTATTTATTATTTTTAGATATAAAAACAAAGATCGCAAATATCTCAGTAAATTATTTATCAATTTTCATTTAAAAAACAGAAAAATAAAGATATCCTGATATAAAAAAATGACAGTTTATATAATCGCATAAACATAAGCATAATCGAGCATAATCGGCTACTGAAAGAAGAAGAAGAAGAGGATTCACAATTTTTTATACTGCAGTTTATTTTCTCTTTTTTCTTCACTCGGCATACTTTTATTTTACTGTTTAATGTAAATTTTATAAAAAGAATAGACATCATTATATAATATGTTGTTATGTTTTTGCACTTTTAAATTTCAGACTTGTACTTTTTGAATACACTCTGGAAGACGTACTAAATCAGAATATGCATTCAATATTTTTCAATATGCGAAATAAATCTCGACAAATACGAACGTGATGAAATAAAAATTGAATCAAAACAAAAACGAAAATTGAATATCACAAGGGTCTTACAAAAGGACGTTGGGAGTATTTGGATTATTTGCACGTGGAGATATGAAAAGAATAATGAAAAGAAAATGTAACGCTGCAAAGAAGCTGCTTTCGGATCACAAAAATAACACTGTTTTTTCAAATGAATGGACTTCGACAATATTTTATAATCTAAATAATATATTAGAACTGTTTTATGTTGTCCCAAAGATTTATCTCCCTGGCGTGTCAAATAAAATTTTTAATATTGACATTTCGACGTCTATATAGGAAGCCATTTTGAAAAACCAATTTCTAAAATTATCTAAAATAAACAGTGTAAAAAATTTAAGCAAATATTTTTTTACATACTGTGGAACGGGTAAAACCGATCAAAATTTGAGGTTTTTTTCATGTTTTCATAATTATTTTGAATTAATAAAGCTGCAAATGATATATAGAATAGAATAGAAATATGCTTTATTGTCACTGAAAATTATTGAACAATTTTATAAACAAAGCTAAAAAATAAATCAGTCAAATAGTACAAAAAGTATAAAACAAAAACAAATATAGTAAAAAACAGAATAACACAATTTTAAATTAGTAAAATTATTGTATAACCTACATAATTTGTACAGACAACAACAAATGAGACAAATTGTAGCCACTGCTTGAGACACCCAAATGTAATTATAAACAATACTAATTTTGTTTCTTTGTTATACATTAAGAAACTCGTCAACTGAATAATATGGTCTTTCTGAGAGATAGATTTTTGTCACCTTACGAAACTTAATGAAGGATGTTGCGGATTTAATTTCTCTTGGAAGGTGATTATAAAGTTTCTTTGCACGATATAGAATAGAATTCTTTACTAGCTGAGTGGACGGGATCGGCAAATAAACGTTACAATCCGAATTTCTAATGGAGTAGACATGGTCAGGTCTACCGGGAAAAATGTTTAGATGCTTTCGAATCAAACAAACCGTTTCCAAAATAAATAAAGAGGGAAGCGTCAAAATTCCGTGATTTTTTAGGAAGGTCTTGCAATGAGTTGTTTGTTTGAGACCAAATAGATAACGGATTGTTCTTTTTTGCAACTTAAAAATAGTATCAAATTGGGCCGCTGTACTAGAACCCCAAAATGGAAGCCCATATCGAAGATAGGACTCGAACAATGAGAAATATGCCATTTTGGCAGAAGATAAATTTAGTTCCTTCGAAACAGATCTTATTGCAAAGCAAGCTGAGGCTAGTTTCTTCCTTAAGGATTCAGTATGCAAGGACCATTTGAGATCACTGTCAATGAGAATACCTAGAAATTTCATGGAATTTACGATATTGATTTGGCTCTCATTAAGGGTTGCATGACTCCTTTATAAGATAATGCTACAGTCTTATCCACGTTAAAGCTAAGTAAGTTGGAGTCTGACCAAGCCTTGATTATAAGTAAATCATCGGTTATAATTGAATGAAGCGTTGAAATATCAGAGCTGCTCCAAGTAATACTGGTATCAACAGCAAATAGAAAAATTTTCCCTTTAATTTTCAAGTAAGTGATGTCATTAAAGAAAAGTAAAAAAAGAATGGGACCTAATACTGAACCTTGCGGTACTCCACACTCAATATCTTTACAACTAGAGTCGGTGTCATTTATTCTAACCATATGTTTCCTACCTACCAAGTAAGAACCAGTTCAAAGACACACCCCGAATTCCGTAGAAAGTTGGCGGTGGCGGAGGAGAGGTTACTGTTTAGTGATAGATATACATCAGGTAACACAGAAAATATGGCATCACTAGTGCATTTATTAGACAAAAAGCCGAACTGATTTTGCGATAAAATATTATATTTAAGGAGAAAGGGCATAAGTCGAACTTTTATAAGTCTTTCAATAATTTTTGATAGTGCTGGTAACAAGGCAATAGGTCTATAGTTGCAGGCATCAGATTTTTCTCCACCTTTATGAAGAGGAATGACGATGGCAGTCTTTAGGCAGTTAGGGAATGTACCTTTTTCAAGGGAATCATTTACTGGCGAGACCATGACCTCCAAAACATTATGCGGTAGATTTGAGAAAATTTTAATAGATAATCCATGTGTACTACAGGACGATGTGCTTTTTATACTACGAATTGTTGAATTGAGTTCCGTCTTATCAACTGGTCTTAAAAATAAGGTATCAGCAATGTTTTTTGAATTAGAGAGATAGGAAACTGGATCTTGTTGTGGCGAAATAGTTGAGGTTATATTTTTACTCACATTAACAAAGTAATCATTTAGATTTTCGGGGTAAGGAAAAGAAAAGGTTTGATCCGCTGTATTGGTTTTATTTCGAAAATCGTTTATTATTGACCAAGTTTCTTTTGAAATATTTTTGGAGATATGTTAAAGTATCGTATCTGAAGTGTCAATTAGTGGATTTTATTTTAAAATCATCCTAATAGTTTTTTTCTCATATATTTTCAAAATAAAATTCACATTTTATATTGTTAGATTTTGATTTGAAAGTTAAAGAAAGTAATAGAAATAAGTACTTTAAAAAAAAGTGATCAGCCAATGAAGACATTATCACAATTTTCAATATTACCACACTTCACAGGAAAGCATTTTTAAGACCTTGCTAATATTTGCATATTTAAAATTTTGTCGTTTATGGTTACAATTGAGGCTAGTAGAAACATAGTGGACTAAGTCCAAATTGAATGAATGGAGATAAATAGGTTTAACAATGGAACAAAATTTTCATTTAGCTGTATGATTTAGTTTCGGAATATTTTTATTCCCACATTTTAGTATGTATCAAATGAGGCATAGTAATTATTTAGAACCCAAAAATGTATAGTAGCGACAGTTGTTTCAATTTTAATTTGGGTTAGTCCACTTTGCTGAACTGCAGTTGTACCAAATTCAGTGAAGCAATAGTATGAAATAGGGAAATTTTTATTGTTCAAACACATTGATAATACTAATATAAACATCAAACTAAAAAAAAATTAAATTCAGTCATCATCTTCATTCAATGCATTATCAGTTAACAACTGTCCACCGATTGCAACTGTTGATTATTAAATACTTGTATAAAAATTATGATGCACCGGAGAAATATGTGATCTAACTTTCTAGGACCGTGGTAGAAATAAAATCAGATATAGTCATCTGTATAATCTTAAATGGATTTTTTTTCTTGCATTTTGTATTAGGGAGTGCCAGTCAGTAGGTTCAAAAATATGGGGATGAAACGTTTTTTTCTTTCTCAATCAAACCAAAATCTTGGTCACATGGTAAATAAGAGTGGCCACTCACCAAAAATTTATGCTGTATTTCATCCACTGTGTATTCTGGAGAGCAAGTAATATAATTGCATAGTACTGACATCTCGTTATTCCAGTTTTAGCCGCCATATTGATCGGAGTACATTATGACTGTTGATGAAGTGGCGAAATTTTTAAAGTAATACAAAATGCAAGACCCTATTACTTGAGGTCCTCTTGAAGCCACTGTTTAATACTGAAGCAGTAGGTCCACAACTGTCTTTTATAGTAACAAGTTCCAGTTGTTAATACTGGGGTGGGTAGAGTTTTCATCAAATCGAAACATATAACTGAAATCACACTTATTGTAAGATAGGTGTCACGATTTAGACCATCTCTAGCACTCTTGGCGTTTCTTTGATGTAACTCCTTTTCATGTTCTAACTATATCTTTTGTTCCTCATTTGCAGCTTTAAGCTTTATATTGAATATATCACATTTCTTACATGAATCACTAATGGGTGGATGAAAATGTAGATTGGATTGAGTATTAAAAATTCTACCAAAAATGTAATGTGATACCGGATTCACCGTTTCTGTCTTATACAGCATATAGAGTTTTCCCATACTCAAATCGGGTGATAAATATTTTCTGTGGCTACCTTTTTCTCTACAATAATGTGATTTATAGCTTGGAATCTTTTGAATAAATAGCTTTACTTGAGTCTCCCTTTCGGTTGTTGTCTTATTGGCTGGAGGATGTTTTCCACGACGATCGGAAGGTGGAGGTGCTCCTACTGCTTTATTTTTCAAAAGTCTGTCCAGTCTACCAGCAAACTTTTGTAACTCAGCTTGAAAAAAATATTTGCAAACCTTTTGATCTTCTCCGTTTTCATTTGGTAAAATATAAATCCGTGTTTTTTTTCTTCTGGAATTTTGGTTGAAAGTAAATGTACGTAATTCATTTTAAGCTGTGATTAAAGAATATAAGTCAGATGTTTGCTAACCGAACGTACGCAGACAATAGAAATGTGTATGCAAATCTTTTTGGACGATCATGTGAAATTAAACTTGTACATTTGAGTTTACAGCTGCAGTCAACAGCGTTGAATGTTTTGACTTTAACAGTTTTATTCAATTTGGTTTTATACTCCATACCAGAACACCGTTTGAATTTGTTAGAGTTCCTTTGCCATGTTTTAGTTTTACGAACTTGCTTCTTAGGTTTGAACTGCTTCGATGTCATCGATGTATTCTCTGTGACATGCAATTCGATTTCGTCATCAGTAGGTACGTACTCTGATCCAGAATCTTGATATGTTTCCGATTCTGACGATTCTGTAACGAAAAGATTATCTAGATAATCTACTTTAAGTCAATGCAATAGTGGACTAAGCCAGAAAACGAATATAAACAACATAACCTAAAAAATAAATGGTTTTAGGTATAATCTTATTTCTATTTATTTCTTACTTAATAATAAAATAATAAATGCTATTACCCACCTTCGATAGAGCTCATTGTACTTAAGATAATTACATTCACAATGAATCTGCAATTTGCATAATATTCAGATCTTAACGTAATCCACAGTATTCCACGCGGGAAAACAGTAAAAGAGCACTACATCATACAGAAATGCAAAGTAAACTAAGATCGTGAAATAAATTAAACCCTAAAAGTAGTATAATGCTGTTATCTAACAATCAAGTACTGAAGGTGTCTTGGTCCACTCTGCATTCGATAGATGTTTGTTTTACCGATTGAATGGTACGTTACAATTAAAACTGCAAATTTGTGGGTTATTCCACTATGCTTCTATACCCTGGCCGCTTAAAACATGGAATCCAAGGTCGCATGATCGCTGAATGCAAGCATCGACAGGCGATCAAAACTAGATCTTCTGAGAAACTGTTTACACCGTCATTATTAATTTGTGTTTTACTTTCGCTAGCTGCTGAATTTTTGTTTGTTTTTAGAGTTCACGCGTACGTATATTAATTTGTATTAATTATTGTCTGAGTTAGATTTATTAACGATTTTATTAACTGTGTGTTACGTTTAATAACCTGTAAAAAATTGTGTAAATATTTAATCATCATCATTCAGCCCATACTCGTCCACTGCTGAACATAGGCCTCCCGTAGTTCACCCCACAAATTTCTGTCCTGAGCCGCCTGCATCCAATTTTATGTGTCCGTTTCAGGTCATCCGTCCATCTTGTTGGTGGTCGTCCTCTATTCCTAAAGGCATCTTGTCTGGGTCTCCACTCAAGAATGCGTTTTGTCCATCTGCCGTCCTTCGTTCTCGCGACGTGCCCTGCCCAGTTCCATTTTAAGGTTGATTTTCTTTTGATTGCGTCGGTTACTCCCGATCTACGGCGCAATTCTCTGTTGGGTATTCGGACTCTCAGGGTTAATCCCAACATGGACCGTTCCATTGCCCTCTGTGTTGTTCGGATTTTGTTTGCGGACGTCTTAGTAAGTGTTAGCGTCTCCGCACCATAGGTTAGAACCGGCAGCACACATTTATCGAAGACTTTTCTCTTCAAGCAGATGGAAGAGCTGATTGGAAAACATCTCTTAGCTTTCCATAAGCTGCCCATGTCAACCCTATTCTACGTATTAGTTCATTGGTCTGGTTATCTCTACTTAAGCGAATTTCGTGTCCCAGATATTTGTATGCTGATGTTTGTTCTCTACTTGTTCCAGCTATGTTGATGTTCTCACTCAGAACAAGGTTTGTCATCACTTGTGTTTTTGAGTTATTGATCTTTAAACCCACTTGTGTAGAGGCATGGTAGAGTCTTTCGCACATTTCGATGGCATGATCTATGCGGTCTGTTATCAGGACTATATCGTCCGCGAACCTGAGGTGACTAAGCTGCTCTCCATTTATGTTTATGAACTTTTCGTCTAGGTCTGCACGCTTACACATGTATTCCAATAATGTTGTAAACAGTTCTGGTGAAATGGTGTCGCCCTGGCGAACTCCACGATGAATGTTGAACTTGTGTGTATCTTCATGGAGTCTGACGCATGCCGTGGCATTATCATAGATATTTTTGATGACAGTGATCTATTCGGCACTCTTTTAAAGCTTCTAGCATTTTCTGGTGGTTTACTGTGTCGAATGCTTTCTCATAATCCACGAATATTAGGACGAGGGATTTATTGTACTCTACACATTTTTCGATGAGGCTTTTAATAACTTGTAGATGGTCGTTTGTGCCGAAGCCTGACCTGAGTCCTGCCTGTTCGCATGATTGGTAAAAGTCCATTTTGTTCGAAAGTCTGTTTGTTATGACTTTTGTAAAATGCTTGTATATGTGTGAGATGAGGCTGATTGGTCTATAGTTTACGAGATTTGTTAAATCTCCTTTCTTAAACATTAGAATGATCACTGCATTTTGCCATTGTGATGGTGTTGTTCCTCTTTCAAGGTATTTTGTGAAAAGTATGGAAAGCATTTGTATCAGTTTCTCGCCTCTCGCCTCTTGTAAATATTTAATAGTAAGAGTGTTATTTCGTTTTTGTTGACCGGTGTAAATGTGGGAAAATTGATAGCATAGGGAGAGGAATATTTAAGAGTGCGTGCCATTCACGTGATCATTCCATCTTTTTGGCGGCTCAACTATAGTAGCCTCAATTACAAGTGTAATAACTACTTTTATTTTAAATATTTTACTTTGTTAACGGTTCATGTCTAGGTACGCTACTGTTGATCACAATATAGAACAATTTTCAGATTTTTTTTTTACCAACAGCGAGCTCTGGATAATTCACCGGTTTCTATTTATAAATAAATTTTGTTATGTTGGATACAATTTATATTCGCATTGCAAAATATTCAGAGTATGCTTTGATTTGCTGCCGTTTTTATAGTTATAGCGAAGTATTTTATGAATTCCCATCCATCATATCTTGTTTCAAGCGTAACGTTATTACGAGTCGCATTTATTTTTCGGTATTGTGAAATAAAATTCTAGTTATGTCGAAAAATAAAGGCACCTTTGAACAAAACGAGTTTCATACAAAAAGCTATACCTCTCATCAATCATGGCATTTTTAATACACCATATATGGCAGTCAAAAGCATTCGGAAAATATTTTAAATATTCACTGTAGTTTACTATAGACAATGAAGTATTGATCATGGAATGTTATTCGGATTCAATAAACTAGAAATATGTATGTTTTGGTAACCTGTAGCCACAAAGATTTTTATTTTAGGTTTTCAAGCTTGTCATTTATTAGTATTTTTATTTATTTATTAAAATTATATTCTAAAATTTTACTCTTTCAGGTATTTTCCTTATAAAATTAGTATATTATAAACCAGAATATCTTTTTTGCTAGTTGTTTATAATTGCTGGAGTTTCGCAACTTCATAAAAATACTTTGAAAATAGGGTAAGCTATACGGTGATTGGCCACGATTAGCTATTGGCCCATTGTCGATTTTTTACGCTATTTTAAGAATATAACGAAAAAACAGCTGTAGTGATAAGGTTTTATAATAAATTTTGTGGAAGTTTTGAAAACAAAATGTTCAGTGTTTCATTGTTATATAAAATAAATTTCCATCAAGTATCGGTCGAATACATCAATGATATACTTTTGTTTCTTATATGACATATTATTCAAAAAACTACAAAGCTGCAGTTTGTGCAATGCTGATCTTTTATGCTGTAATACTTAAATTTGTCTGCTTGTAGTGGCGATATATTAACTGTGATATATACTCTGATAGAGAGATGAACTGAACATTTTAAGGCGTTAGATGCAAAGCTTATGTACAACGCCACATATAAGTTGTATACTTCTTCTTCTTAACATGCCATACACCAAAGTGCGTAGGCGACTATCTCATTACTAGAATTCTGTTCTTGGCGGCGTGACACAGCTCGCCTGTATTGTGTATTCCTGTCTATTCTTTAATATTCCTTAACCAGGATAATTGTTTGCAGCCGGCTCCTCTCCTACCTTCGATCTTTCCTTGTAGGATTAACTGTGGTATTTAACATTTTGTTCCTCTCAATATGTGCCCAAGGTAACCAATCTTGCGTTGTTTTAATTAATTCAAAGAGTTCTCTTTCCACGCCAGCTCTCTTAAGGACGTCATTGTTTCGAACTCTATCCACCTAAGGTATGCGCATCATTCTTCTCAATGACCAAATTTCAAATGCTTCAAGTTTGTTGATAGATGCTTTTTTCAAAGTCCACGTTTCCATGCCCTAAAGAAAGATGGACCATATGTAACACTTGACCATTCTGTAGCGTATTTCAAAATTTAGGTTTTGATTACATAGGAGCGGTCTGAATTTCATAAAAGCTTGTCTCGCCATTTGTATTCGGGTTTTTATCTCTTGTTGTGGATCCGATTGGTCATTGATTGTGGTGCCAAGGTATTTAAAAGTTTTCACGAGTTTTATACGATCGTCACCTCTGCATATTATCGGGTTTTCTGGAGGGTTTCTGCTAATGACCATGTATTTCGTTTTCAAAATGTTGATTTGGAGGCCATATTTTTTACCTATGCTATTCACCCTATCAAGTAAAAACTGCTGATCTTCCAAATTATCAGTTATAATCACTCTGTCGTCCGCATAGCCTAGGTTGATAATTGGTATGCCGTTCACCTTAATGCCTAATTCCGTGTCTTCTAATGCTTCCGTAAATATATTTTCAACATATAAATTAAAAAGCATCGGAGAGAGTATGTAGCCTTGGCGGACACCTTTTCGGATTTCAAATTCATCCGTATTTTGGTCTTGATCAATCTTCACCTTTGCCATTGGTTCCAGTATAGATTCTGAATAATTCTGATCTGCTTCTGGTCAATGTTGGCTCTATGTAGTAGTTCCATCATGATATCATGTTTAACATTGTAAAATGCCTTCTCGTAGTTGATGAAGGTGAGGTAGACATCTTTTCGTTGATCTAAGCAGTTTTGTATTAAGGTGTTCAAACATAGCATAAAATTGCCTCTCTTGTTCTTGAATTGTGTTGACCCGCTAAGTTCTTCTAGTATCTTGTACATTCTTGAGTGTAATATTCTAAGAAAGAGTTTCAGCAAGTGTCTTATTAAACTGATTAAGCGGTGTTCACTGCATTTTGTGGCATTAGCTCTTTTTGGGATCATCACAAAGGATGACTGCAGCCATTCTCGCGGAATGTAACCAGTATCATAAATTCTATTGAACATCGTTACTAAGATTTCGATATTTTCCTCGTCTAGTAGTTTTATTGCTTCTATATTAATTTCATCTGGACCTGTTGCTTTATGCATCTTTGTTGTTCTAACTGCACATTCTATTTCACTTCGCATTATTGATGGCCCTGATAAGTTTTCGGAAGGAAGTTTGCGCGTTGGCTGTGTTGGTCTTTCGTCATTAAAAAGTCGTTCCACGCCATTGCTATCTCCTCTTCTGACTCTATGTATTTGTTTTTGTCGATGCATACTAAGAGTTACAATCTATGCATCGTTTAACAGAGGACATATTATAACTGCAGAATTTGT